AAAGCCTTCGGTGTCTTGATTTGCAAATAATCAAACCAATACCAAAGGGGAAAAAATAAAGAACAAAGAACATGTACATCAGCCGAAAATAATCGTCTAGCATCCAAGTCCAAAGAAAAAAAAACCGATACGAGTAAGTAAAATAACTAACTAAAGTGCTCAATACGTTAATATATATATACGTATATATATATATATATATATATATATATATATATATATATATATATATATATTTCCATTAGCAAATGAACTGATTGACTATCTTGGCAGTATGCTATTAATATTTAAATTTTACAACGGTCAGTTTTCAATCCATGCCTGACGATTGCCACGTCCATTGGAACTCAGAGTTGTAGCAAAGGTTACATGAGATAAACAAAATTTATATTTCTTATTAGCATAAATTTTAACTCTGTTATTATACATCGAACAGTTTTATTACCACCGGTACTAACTGTGCTGACCAATATATATTATATATATATATATATATATATATATATATATATATATATATATATATATATATATATATATATATATATCTCATACAGAAATAAATTGAGTATAATTTTGATCTAAAATGCCACACTCATCAAAAGAGAATGTGATTTACATAAAAAATTCTCGCCATCGTATCCTCTCAAAATATAAATCTACGCCCCGGTTTTTTCCCAAACTCACTTTTCCTGAAAGAATTACTACTTTCCCAACCTAATAGAAACGACCACAAATATGTTGAAAAATAAAAAAAAAATGCTTAAATCCGTCACTTCATGTTTTTGAAGATGTCCAGCACAGACACCCATCTCATATCATAAGAATATGATCACAATCTAAGCAATATTCATTTAAAAAAAAATAATTCTTGAACATTACTCACTTGGTTTTAGCCCGATTTTGGAATTATGACACCTTGTGCCCTCCATGTGTTTTTTTTTTCAATCACCTGATGAACATTTATGGACGTTCTCAAATCGGAATGCCAATGACACCCTCACTTTTACCTATAAACACATGCAACAAAATAAATGCTACATTTGTCTTTATCTCAAAGGACGAAACGCATCAGCTAAGAATAGTTTTCCTCTTGTCTCCTTTTTATTAATATATATATATATATATATATATATATATATATATATATATATATATATATATAATAAAAAAAAAAGAACAGTAAGATATATAATCCTGTGTTCTTATAGATATTTTATTTTTGCAAAATAGTGCTCAATGTAAATTTACAAAGCATTAATATTATAAATTAATTGATTTAAAATATGTTTTTTGCTACACAATTCTAACCAAGTTTCAAAATGGAACTAACGTGTTTAATTTAATTACAAAATTAAAATCGAGGGCTTTTAACTTCCATTTTTGAAACATGGTTAGAACTGTTCAGTAAAAGAAAAAAATGAAGGTCTTATTTTATACAATTATATATATATATATATATATATATATATATATATATAAATATATATATATATAAACATATAATTTATATACAAAGAAATAATCACACATAGAATCAATCAGCAATATTAATGCTATTATTGGCGACATCCATCACTAGTAGTGTATAATGTATGCATTAAAATTTCTGTTAATCCATAGAGTGACGTGATCCTCATTTATAAAACTGTTGTCTGTTATTTCCAGTTTATATTTTTTTTAAATGCATGTACTTTCGAATAATCCTTTATTCATCGTCAGGCATATGTTTTCCTTATAAAATCAAAAACATTGTACTTGCATTTAAAAAAATATAAACTGGAAACAATAGACAACAGTTTTATAGATGAGGATCACGTCACTCTATGGATTAACAGTATTTTAAAGTACATGCTGTGATTGTAACCATCAATTGGAAATCGCTCGCCTCGAACGTTCACGAGTACCCAAACTACTAAGACGGTCAAACAAGGGGATTTGCGTTATCTACTGGTATCCAGTAATTACGCATGGTTTGTTTTAACCTTGTTTTGGAATGGCCTTTTAAGATGTTCACGATTTCTTGACAGATTCATGAAAAAAAACTTTTCCGTGAAAGCTCGGCAGATCTGCTACCCAGATCCTGGAAAATGCTTCCTCCAATTTGGCCCAAACACTCTTTACGTGGAACACAGGTTTTTCAGTGGTAAGACCGGCTTCAAACCCGGCTGAGCATTGGCCGGAAAAAGATTATACGCGTCCAGCGAGAATAATTACCAGCAAAAGAGCAGAACAATTAAAATAAAAAAAAAACACTCATGAACACGTTCGTGAAAACCGGCGCTGAACAATCCATCAGTTCTTCTCATATGATTGGCTTCAGTTAGAGAGTCGGCCAGTGCATCCTCACGGGAAAACTGAACCTGCACCACGCTGCTGGGAAGTGGCTTCTCCAAGCTCTTGACACTCATCAAATACAGAGACGTTTTGACATGTGCATTGAGCTTCGTGAGAAGTCAAACGATGACCCAAATTTAAATAATGTACATCATATAGTATTCATTGGCGTAATCATGAAAATTTTAAATGCCTAATCCAGGAACTTTCCGGCATCAAGTCGTATACAAAATAGTGTAACATGACTGCAGGAAAGGGTCTCCGTTTGCGGTGAAAGGAAGATTTCCAGTGAAATTTTATTCTCACTTGATGCTCGGGTTAATGACTTTAGAAGTAAGTTAACAACATGCATGTACAAATATACAGACTGCTTGAATTCTAATATATATATATATATATATATATATATATTCATACACGTTTCATTAAATAATATAGACAAGTGTTGTTTATTTATTTTATGTAAATTTTTTTCGTAACGTCTGATAAGTTTAATAACATCGCTGAACGAAGAAAGAAATGCATAAGAGGCTAGAAGCGAAAATCAACACCGCATCTCATGACGTCACACATGACCACACGAAAGTGAAGTGGAGAAGTATGAAGTATGGAAATCCGTTGGTATAAAACCAATGGCTTCTGTTACCAATTATAGACATTTAAGAATATTTGTAGAGATGCCATAATTGATCTTGTTTAGGTTGGGTTTCAACTGTTTGATGTATAATGCTTCAAAGATTTTTAGTTTTTGTCTTTTGTTTTCATGTCGAAGTATAATTGTGTTTTCGACAAGTATTTTACGGAATTGTGAGTGCGGGCAGGCATGTTGTTTTAAATGCCTAAAAATGTGCATACTGTAAAAATTAGGAGATGAGTTGAATCCGCTACCTTGGTTTCAGCCTTACGGTATCTTCAGGCGAATTTTTATTAAGTGACCTCTGAACGCTTTATTTAATAATAAAAAACAAATGAACGCTATATTATTTTAAGAAATAAATAAACAAAGGCACAACATTGGGTGTGATAGAAAGGAAGGATGAAAGGATATGAAGAAAGAAGGAGAAATGGGAAGAGATATATATATATATATATATATATATATATATATATATATATATATGAATAAATGACAATAGAAAAACTGGTAATTGCAGACGCGTTTCGTCCAATGTGGATAAATGAATGAGATAAAGTCACATTGGACCAGTTTACCAGTTTATTGTCATTTTTTTATTCATAAATATTGTCTTCTACTGGTTAAATCGGAGAATTTTTATATATATATATATATATATATATTGGCTGTAACAGCAAAATTGTCCAAATTGTGTAACAGCATAATTGTTCATTCCACGTTTAATATCTAAAAAATACCAAACTAATTGTTTCTTTTTTCCAGTCTTTCAGATAAGACGTTTAGCCATATTGACACAATTTGTCGTAAGAATCACTGAAAAACCTTTTGATTTAATCAGCCAGAAAGACAACGGGTTAAACTCATTTTATGTCAGCCCCACTATATCGTCCCAACTGAGCAATGGTGCGATGAAAAAGATAATCTAGGCCTTCAGTAATGGTACCAACATACATACTCTGGCTTCCATTTTCAAAGTCAATTCAAGGACCATCAACAGAACGATGAATAAGTTTAAAAAAGAGGAAAAAGTAAAGAGAAAAACTGGATCCCTAAAAATCCAACTCAATCCATAATACGTTTGGCACGTGAGAGAGGAGTTTCAACTATGACAATCCAAAGAGCAGTGAAAAAAAGACTTAAAAAAGAAATTGTACGTGAAACGTGTGAAGCAACTTGTTACTCCTGGACAGAAAGTTAGACGGTTAGAGAGGGCGAAGGTCATCTTGAATAAGTTGGGAAATGATCCTAGAATATATATATATATATATATATATATATATATATATTTGAATTTTATTTCGATCCTTCATGACCTTCCGATCTTTAGCTATGCTTGATTAATGGCGAACATGTAATTTTCATGATTTCATTGATCGATTTCATCGATCGATTTCATCACGATTCTTCTATTAACCTTGAAAAGTAATTATACATTCTCAATAATCAAAGTAGAGCCCAATGGTGTTGTAAAAAACCTAGGAGTATTCCAGTAAGATATCTTTAATCATTTCTAATGTATAACGGTTCAAAGCTTAATCGAACAAATGGACAATATGATTTTTACACGATTTGGACAATTTTGCAGTTGCACCCGTATATATATATATATATATATATATATATATATATATATATATATATATATATATATATATATATGATAGAAATTAAGGAGGATTTACCATATGGAAAGCATAATAAGACTAAGGTAAATTTCTGTCCGACAGCCATTCCTTCGGATATTTTTCCTTTATTCTTGTCCACATTTTCTACCTCTTTTTTTTCTCAATACTTTTTCTTTCTCTCACTTTTTAGACACTTTGCCCAGTTCACTCTTCTCCATGGTCTTTTGAACAAGAGTAGAGGTTTACCCCTTGTTTCCTGTTTAGTATTAGGTTTCCGGTTCCTTTTAATGCTTTTGTCTATTTCACTTCCGATGGTCGCTTTTGTTTTGGTGACATTATCACCTTAGTTGGGGTGGTGACCCTTACCCTATCACCTCGAGTGACTCTTGGGTTTTGTAAAGGGTGAACATCATTGTAAAAATATCTTTATCTATTGCTATCTCTCTCTCGTTCTCTCTATCTCTCATGCACTCTTTTTACTCTCTCTCTCTCTTTCTCTGTCTTTCTTTCTTTCACTCCCTCACTTTTTCTTTCTCTCTCTCTCGCATCTCTTCATCTTTTTCTATTTCCGATTCAATCTCCTTTTGCTTTCTTTCTCGTTTTCGCTTCTATCTTTCTATCTCTTATTTCTCTTTCTTTCTTGCTTGCTTCTCTTATACTCTTCTCTTTTTTTCTTTTTTGCGCTCTTTCTTTTTTTCTCTCTTTTTCTTTCTCTTTCTTTCTCTCACTCACTCACTCTGTCTTTCTCTTTCTCTCATCTCTTCTTCATCTTTTTCTATTTCCGATTCAATCTCCTTTTGTCTTTCTGTCTCGTTTTCGCTTCTATCTTTCTGTCTTCTCTTATCTCTCTTCTTTTCTTGCTTGCTTCTCTTATACTCTTCTCTTTTTTTTTTTTTTTTGCACTTTTTTTTTTCTCTTTTTTTCTCTTTCTTTTCTCTCTCTCACTCCTCTTTCTTTTCTCTTTCTCTTTCTTTTCTTCATCTCTTTTTCATCCTTTTCTATTTCCGATTCAATCTCCTTTTGCCTTTCTGTCTCTCTTTTTCTCTTCTATCTTTTTCTGTCTTCTTATCTCTTCTTTCTTTTTTTCTTTATTTGCTTCTTTCTGTCTCGTTTTACTCTTCTCTTTTTCTTTTTTTTTTGCTTTTCTTATACTCTCTTTTTTCTTTTTTCTCTCTTTTTCTCTTTTTTTCTTTTTCTTTCTCTCACTCACTCACTCTTTCTTTTTCTTTCTCTCATCTCTTCTTCATCTTTTCTATTTCCGATTCAATCTCCTTTTGTCTTTCTGTCTCTGTTTTCGCTTCTATCTTTCTGTCTTCTCTCTTATCTCTTCTTCTTTTCTTGGTTTCTCTTATACTTCTCTTTTTTTTCTCTTTTCTTTTTTTCTTTTTTGCTTTTCTTTTTCTTTTTTTCTCTTTTTCTCTCTCTTTCTTTTCTCTCACTCCTATCTTTCTATCCTCTTTTTTCTTTCTCTTTTTTTTTTCTTTTTCGCTCTTTCTTTTTTTTTTTTCTTTCTATCTATCTTCTGTCATCTTTTCTATTTCGATTCAATCTCCTTTTGCCTTTCTGTCTCGTTTTCCTTCTATCTTTCTGTCTTCTCTTATCTTTCTTCTTTTTGCTTGCTTCTCTTATACTCTTCTCTTTTTTCTTTTTTTGCACTCTTTCTTTTTTCTCTCTTTTTCTCTCTCTTTCTTTCTCTCACTCACTCACTCACTCTTTCTTTCTCTTTCTCTCATCTCTTCTTCATCTTTTTCTATTTCCGATTCAATCTCCTTTTGTTTGTTTTCTTTTCTTTGTCTGTTTTCGCTTCTATCTTTTTTTTTTTTTTATCTCTTTTTTTTTTTCTTGCTTGCTTTCTTTCTCTTATACTCTTTTCTTTTTTTTCTTTTTTGCACCTTTTCTTTTTTTCAATCTCTTTTTGCCTTTTTTCTCGTTTTCCTTTCTTCTTTCTTCTTTCTCTTTTCTTCTTTTCTTGCTTGCTTCTCTTTCTCTTCTCTTTTTTTCTTTTTTGCACTCTTTCTTCGTCCTTTTTTCTATTTCCGATTCAATCTCCTTTTTTGCCTTTCTCTTTGTCTCATCTTTCTTCGTCTTTTTCTATTGTCTTCTCTTTTCTTTCTGTCTTTTTTTCGTTTTATCTTTCTCTTCTCTTATCTTTCTTCTTTCTTTTTTTTTTTGCACTTCTTTTTTTTTTTTTGCACTCTTTCTCTTTTCTCTCTCTTTCTTTCTCTCACTCACTCACTCTTTCTTTCTCTTTCTCTCATCTCATCTCTTCATCTTTTCTATTTCCGATTCAATCTCCTTTTGCCTTTCTGTCTCGTTTTTTTCTTCTATCTTTCTGTCTTCTCTTATTTTTCTTCTTTTCTTGCTTCTCTTATACTCTTCTTTTTCTTTTTTTTGCGCTCTTTCTTTTTTTCTTTTTTTTCTTCTCTTTCTTTTTTTTTTCCTCCTCACTCTTTCTTTCTCTTTTCTTTCTCTCATCTCTTCTTCATCTTTTTTCTTTCCGATTCAATCTCCTTTTGCCTTTCTGTCTCGTTTTCGCTTCTATCTTTCTGTCTTCTCTTATCTTTCTTCTTTTCTTGCTTGCTTCTCTTATACTCTTCTCTTTTTTCTTTTTTTGCACTCTTTCTTTTTTCTCTCTTTTTCTCTCTTTCTTTCTTTCTCCTCCTCCTCTTTTTTCTCTTTCTCTTTCTCTCATCTCTTCTTCGTCCTTTTCTATTTCCGATTCAATCTCTTTTGCCTTTCTGTCTCGTTTTCGTTTCTTATCTTTCTGTCTTCTTTATCTTTTTTTTTCTTCTTTTCTTGCTTGCTTCTCTTATCTCTTCTCTTTTTTTTTTTTTTTTTGCACTCTTTCTCTTTTTTTTCTCTCTTTCTCTCTCTTTTTTCTTTTCTATTTCCTCTTAACTCTTCTCTTTTTTTTTTTCTTTTTTTCTCTTTCTCTTTCTCTCTCCACTTTCTTCTTCGTCCTTTTCATTTCCGATTCAATCTCTTTTTGCCTTTTCTGTCTCGTTTTCTTTCTCTTCTATCTTTTTTTTTTGCACTCTTTCTTTTTTCTCTCTTCTCTTTCTCACTTTTTTTTTTCATGTTTTGCATCCTTTTTGCGATTCTCCTTATACTTTCTTCTCGTTTTTTCTTTTTTTATCTCTTATCTTTCTTTTTTCTTCTTTTTCTCTCTCTCTCTTTTTTTCTTTCTCTCTTTCTTTTTCTCTCTCACTCTTTCTTTTCTTTCTCTTTCTTTCATCTCTTCTTCGTCCTTTTCTATTTCCGATTCAATCTCCTTTTGCCTTTCTGTCTCGTTTTCGCTTCTATCTTTCTGTCTTCTCTTATCTTTCTTCTTTTCTTGCTTGCTTCTCTTATACTCTTCTCTTTTTTCTTTTTTTGCACTCTTTCTTTTTTCTCTCTTTTTCTCTCTCTCTTTCTTTCTCTCACTCACTCACTCTTTCTTTCTCTTTCTCTTTCTCTCATCTCTTCTTCGTCCTTTTCTATTTCCGATTCAATCTCCTTTTGCCTTTCTGTCTCGTTTTCGCTTCTATCTTTCTGTCTTCTCTTATCTTTCTTCTTTTCTTGCTTCTTCTCTTATCTCTATTTTTTCTTTTTTTTTCTTTTTTTTTCTCTCTTTTCTCTTCTCTTTCTTTTTTACTCCTACTTTTTCTTTCTCTTTTTTTCTCTCATCTCTTCTTTCCTTTTCTATTTCGATTCAATCTCCTTTTGCCTTTTGTCTCTTTTTTCTTTTTCTTTCTGTCTTCTCTTTCTTTCTTCTTTTCTTTTTTCTTATACTCTTCTCTTTTTTCTTTTTTTCTTTTTTTTTCTTCTTTTTCTCTTTCTTTCTTTCTCTCATTTTTCTTTTCTTCGTCTCTTTTCGTCCTTTTTATTTTGATTCAATCTCCTTTCTTTTTTCTGTCTCGTTTACGCTTCTATCTTTCTGTCTTCTGTCTTCTTTTTTATCTTTTCTCTTCCTTTTTTTGCTTTTTTCTTCTTTCTTTTATACTCTTTCTCTTTTTTCATCTTTTTCGTCCTTTTTCTATTTCCGATTCAATCTCCTTTTGCCTTTCTTCTCGTTTTTTTTATCTTTTCTGTCTTCTTATCTTTTTCTTTTTTTCACTTCTCACTCTTTTTTCTCTTTTTTTTTTTCTCTTTCTTTTTCTCTTTTCTCTCTTTTTCTATTTCGATCACTCGTTTTCTTTCCTTTTTCTCTTTTTCTCTTCTTTCGTCTTTTTTCTATTTCATTCTTTTTCCTATCTTTCTTTCTCGTTTTCTTTTTATCTTTTTCTTCTTTTTCTTTTTTCTTTTTCTTGCTTTTTCTCTTATACTCTTTTTCTCTTTTTTTTTTTGCACTTTTTTTTTTCTTTTTTTTTCTTTCTTTTCTCTTTCTTTCTTTCTCTCCTCTCCTTTTCTTTTCTTTCTCTTTCTCTCATCTCTTCTTCATCCTTTTCTATTTCGATTCAATCTCTTTTTGCCTTTCTGTCTCGTTTTTCTTCTATCTTTCTGTCTTCTCTTATCTTTCTTCTTTTCTTGCTTGCTTCTCTTATACTCTTCTTTTTTTTTTTTTGCACTCTTTCTTTTTCTTTTTTTTTTTCTTTCTTTCTTTTCTTTCTCACTCCTCTTTCTTTTTCTTTCTCTCTCTTCTTCGTCTTTTTCTTTCGATTCAATCTCCTTTTGCCTTTTCTGTCTCGTTTTCCTTCTATCTTTCTTTCTCTTATCTTTCTTCTTTTCTTCTTTTGCTTCTCTTTTCTTCTTTTTTCTTTTTGCACTCTTTTTTTTTTCTCTTTTTTCTCTTTTCTCTCTTTTCTTTTCTTTTTCTTTTCTCTTTCTTTCTTTCTCTCATCTCTTCTTCGTCTTTTTTTATTTCGATTCAATTCCTTTTGCCTTTCTGTCTTTTTTTCCTTCTATCTTTCTGTCTTCTTATCTTTCTTCTTTTCTTGCTTGCTTCTCTTATACTTTTCTTTTTTCTTTTTTTTTGCACTCTTTCTTCTCTTTTTTTCTTTTTTCTTTTCTCTTTCTTTTTTTTCTTTTCTTTTTTTTCTCTTCTTCTCTTTTTATTTCCGATTCAATCTCCTTTTTTGCCTTTCTCTTTTTCTTTCTGTCTCTTATCTTTTCTTCCTTTTTTCTTTTTCTTATACTCTTCTCTTTTTTTTTTCTCATCTTTCTTTTTTTTTTTTTTTTTCTCTTTCTTTCTTTCTTTTCTCATTCTTCTTCGTCCTTTTTTTTTTCTTTTTCTTTTCTCGTTTTCTTTTTCTTCTCTTTTTTTTAAAATTCTTTCAATCTTTTTATCTTTCTGTCTTCTTTTCGCTTCTATCTTTCATTCTTTCTTTATCTCTTCTTCTTCTCTTCTTTTTTTTTTTTTGTAATCTTTTTTTTCTTCTCTTTTCTTTTTGCCTCTTTCTTTTTTCTTGTCTTTCTCTTATCTTTCTTTTTCTTTTCTCTCACCACTCTCTTTCTCTTTCTTTTTTCTTCTCTCATCTCTTCTTCGTCTTTTCAATTTCCGATTCAATTCCTATTTTTTGCCTTTCTGTCTCGTTTTCCTTCTATCTTTCTGTCTTCTCTTATCTTTCTTCTTTTTTCTTGCTTCTCTTATACTCTTCTTTTTTTCTTTTTGCACTCTTTCTTTTTCTCTTTTTTTCTCTCTCTTTCTTTCTCTCACTCCTCCCTCTTTTCTTTCTTTCTTTTCTCATCTCTTCTTCGTCCTTTTCTATTTCCGATTCAATCTCCTTTTTGCCTTTCTGTCTCTATCTTTTGTCTTTCTTATCTTTCTTCTTTTTCTTGTCTTCTCTTATCTTCTCTTTTTTCTTTTTTTTGCACTCTTTTTTTTTCTCTCTTTTTCTTTTTTCTCTTTTTTTGCTTTTCTTTCTTTTTCTTTCTTCATCTTTCTTCGTCCTTTTTTTTCTCTTTTTCTCTCTTTTTCTTTTTGCTTGCTTCTCTTATACTCCTCACTCTTTCTTTTTTTTCTCTTTTTTCTCTTTCTTTCTTTTTTCTCTTTCTCTTTCTTCTTCGTCTTTTTTCTATTCCGATTCAATCTCCTTTTGCCTTTACTCTTCTTTTTTTCTTTTTTTTTAACTTCTTTTTTTTTTTCTTTTTCTTTCTTATCTCTTTCTTTCTTCTTTTCTTTCTTCTTTCTTTTTTCTTATCTTTTTCTGTTTGTTTTCTTCTTTTCTCTGCTTTCTTCTCTTTCTTTTTTCTTCTCTTATACTCTTCTTTTTTGCACTCTTTTCTTTTTTCTCTCTTTCTTTTTCTCTTCTCTTTTCTCACTCACTCACTCTTTCTTTCTCTTTCTCTCATCTCTTCTTCGTCCTTTTCTATTTCCGATTCAATCTCCTTTTGCCTTTCTGTCTCGTTTTCGCTTCTATCTTTCTGTCTTCTCTTATCTTTCTTCTTTTCTTGCTTGCTTCTCTTATACTCTTCTCTTTTTTCTTTTTTTGCACTCTTTCTTTTTTCTCTCTTTTTCTCTCTCTCTTTCTTTCTCTCACTCACTCACTCTTTCTTTCTCTTTCTCTTTCTCTCATCTCTTCTTCGTCTTTTTCTATTTCCGATTCAATCTCCTTTTGCCTTTCTGTCTCGTTTTCGCTTCTATCTTTCTGTCTTCTCTTATCTTTCTTCTTTTCTTGCTTGCTTCTCTTATACTCTTCTCTTTTTTCTTTTTTTGCACTCTTTCTTTTTTCTCTCTTTTTCTCTCTCTCTTTCTTTCTCTCACTCACTCACTTTTTCTTTCTCTTTCTCTCATCTCTTCTTCGTCCTTTTCTATTTCCGATTCAATCTCCTTTTGCCTTTTTATTTTCCTTCTATCTTTTTCTCTTTCTTTTCTCTTTTTTCTTGCTTCTATCTTTCTTTTTTCTTTTTTGCACTCTTTTTTTCTCTTTTTTTTCTTTCTTTTCTCCTCCTTTTCTCTTTTTCTTTCTCTTTCTCTCATCTCTTCTTCGTCTTTTTTCTATTTTTCAATCTCCTTTTTGCCTTTCTGTCTTGTTTTCCTTCTATCTTTCTGTCTTCTCTTATCTTTCTTCTTTTCTTGCTTGCTTCTCTATACTCTTCTCTTTTTCTTTTTTTGCACTCTTTCTTTTTCTCTTTTCTCTCTCTCTTTTTTTCTTCACTCATTCTTTTTCTTTCTCTCTTTTCTTCTCTTCTTCTCTTTTTCTCTTCTTCTGATTCAATCTCCTTTTCTTTCTTGTCTTGTTTTGATTCTTTCTGTCTTCTTGATCTTTTTTTCTTTGATTGCTTCTCTTTTGCTTTTTTTTTTTTCTTTTTTTTTTTTTTTTTTTTTTGCCTCTTTCTTTCTATCTTTTTCTGTCTTTCTTCTTATCTTTTTCTTTTTTCTTTTTTTCTCATCTCTTCTTTCCTTTTTATATTTCGATTTCTCTTTTGCCTTTTTCTTTTTTGCTTCTATCTTTCTGTTTTTTCTCTCTTTTTCTCTCTTTCTTTCTCTTTTCTTTTTTTTTTTTCTCTTTTCTTTTTCTCTTTCTTTCTTTTTCTTTCTCTTTCTCTCTTTCTTTCTCTTTTCTTTCTGTCATCTCTTTTCTCCTTTTTTTTTGATTCAATCTCCTTTTCCTTTTTTCGTTTTCCTTCTATCTTTCTGTCTTCTCTTTCTTCTTTTCTTGCTTGTTTTCCTTTTATCTCTTCTTTTTTTCTTTTTTCTCTTTCTTTTTTTTTTTCACTCTTTCTCTTTCTCTTTCTTCTTTCTCACTTTCTCTTTTTTCTTTCTCTCTCATCTCTTCTTCGTCTTTTCTATTTCCGATTCAATCTCCTTTTTGCCTTTCTGTCTCGTTTTTACTTCTATCTTTCTGTCTTTCTTATCTTTCTTCTTTTTCTTGCTTGCTTCTCTTATTCTTCTCTTTTTTTCTTTTTTGCACTCTTTCTTTTTTTCTTTTTCTCTCTCTCTTTCTTTCTCTCTTACTCACTTTCTTTTCTCTTTCTTTCTCTCATCTCTTCTTCGTCCTTTTCTATTTCCGATTCAATCTCCTTTTGCCTTTCTGTCTCGTTTTCGCTTCTATCTTTCTGTCTTCTCTTATCTTTCTTCTTTTCTTGCTTGCTTCTTCTCTTATTCTCTTCTTTTTTTTTTTTTTTTGCACTCTTTCTTTTTTTCTCTTTTTTTTTTCTCTCTTTCTTTTTTCTCTTTTTCTCTCTCTCTTTCTTTTTTTGTCATCTTTTCTCTTTCTCTCATCTCTTCTTCGTCTTTTCTATTTCTCTATTCAATCTTCGCCTTCTGTCTCTTTTTTTATTATCTTTCTGTCTTCTTTTTCTTTCCTTTTCTTTTCTGTCTCGTTTTTCTCTTTTTTTGTCTTTTTCTTTTCTTTTTCTCTTTTTTTATCTCTTTTTCTCTCTTTTTCTTTCTCTCTTTCTTTATCTTTCTTTCTCTTTTTTCTTTGCTTCTCTTCTCCTTTTTTATTTTTAATTCAATCTCCTTTTGCCCTTTCTTTTTTCTATTTTTGTCTTCTCTTTCTTCTTTTCTTCTTGCTTCTTTTCTCTTCTCTTTTTTCTTTTTTTTCACTCTTTTTTCTCTCTCTCTCTCTCTCACTCTTTCTCCTCTTTCTTTCTCTTTCTCTTTCTCTCATCTCTTCTTCGTCCTTTTCTATTTCCGATTCAATCTCCTTTTGCCTTTCTGTCTCGTTTTCGCTTCTATCTTTCTGTCTTCTCTTATCTTTCTTCTTTTCTTGCTTGCTTCTCTTATACTCTTCTCTTTTTTCTTTTTTTGCACTCTTTCTTTTTTCTCTCTTTTTCTCTCTCTCTTTCTTTTCTCTCACCCCTTTCTTTCTCTTTTTTCTCTTTTCTTTTTCTATTTCGATTCATCTCTTCTTCGTCCTTTTCTATTTCTGTCTTCTCAATCTTTTTTTGCCTTTCTGTCTCGTTTTCCTTCTTTTTTCTCTTTCTTTTCTTCCTCACTTTTTCTTCTTTCTTTTCTTTTTCTTGCTTCTTTATATCTTCTCTTTTTTCGTTTTTTTTGTCTTCTCTTTTTTTTCTTTTTTTTCTTCTCTTATCTCTTCTCTTTTTCTTTTTGCACTCTTTCTTTTTTTCTCTTTTTCTTTCTCTTTCTTTCTTTCTCTCTTTCTCTTTTCTTTCTCTCTTTTCGTCTTTTCTATTCCGATTCAATCTCCTTTCCTTTCTGTCTTTTTTTTGCCTTTCTTCTTCTTTTCTTGTTTTTCTGTCTCTTTTTTTTTTCTTTTCTTCTATCTTCTGTCTTCTTCTTATCTTTCTTTTCTTGCTTGCTTCTCTTATACTTTCTTCTTTCTTCTTTTTTTTTTTTTTTTTGCACTCTTTCTTTTTTTCTCTCTCTCTTTCTCTCTCTTTCTTTCTCTTTCTCACTCCTTCGTCCTTTTCATTTTTCTCTTTTTGCCTTTTTCTCTCATCTCTTCTTCGTCCTTTTCTGCCTTTTCGATTCAATCTTTTTTTTTCTTTTTTTGCCTTTCTTTTTTGTCTTGTTTTCTCTTTCTTCTTATCTTTCTTTCTGTCTTCTCTTTCTCTCATCTTTCTTTCTTTTCTTGCTTGCTTCAATCTTTTTGCCTTTCTTCTCTTTTTTTCTTTTTTTTGCATCTTTCTCTTTTTTTTTTTTTCTCTTTTTCTCTCTCTTTTTTCTTTCCTTTCTCACTCCTCCTCTTTCTTTCTCTTTCTCTTTTCTTCATCTCTTCTTCGTCCTTTTCTATTTCCGATTCAATCTCCTTTTGCCTTTCTGTCTCGTTTTCGCTTCTATCTTTCTGTCTTCTCTTATCTTTCTTCCTTTCTTGCTTGCTTCTCTTACACCCATCTCTATTTTTTCTCTCTTTTTTGCACTCTTCCTTATTTCTGAACGACATTCCTAATGTTTCTTCATTCTTTTTTTTCTTCGAATTTTTTCATTCAACTATCCAATTTATGTTCTCTGTTTTTTTTCCTATTTTTTCTTTTTCTTTTTCTTTTTCTAAACCATGGCTTCTCAAATCTGAATATGTGTGCCCCCCAGAGAAATTTAGAGATTACGCAATCAAGTCTGTCGTTCTCTGAGTACCTCTTCCCTTTCTATGATTACAAATTGGCGAACCCTATGTACTTCTTTACCGATTCAAAGAGTAAAATCGTTTTCTATATTCCTCATCCTCCCATCCGTTCTACGTCCAGCCCCGAATGTTCACTGTATTTGATCATGAGTACAGTAATGCAGAAAGTTTTCTCAAAAGGTACGCCAACAGTCCTGCAAGTTGAAAGGGTACCCGGGGTGGTGGGGGGTTACATTTGAGAATTCATGTTCCTATAGCTTCTTTGTCTTTCTCACTCTCTCTTTCTCTCTTCCACTCACTCTCTCTTTCTCTCTCCAACTCTTTCTCTCTCTCACTCTCTCTTTGTTTCTCTCTCTCACATTCTCTTTCTTTCTTTCTCTTTCTCTCACTCATCTTTCTCTGTCACTCACTACCTCTTTCTCTCTCTCTCTCTCTCACTCCCTCTCTCTTTCTTTCTTTCTTTCTTTCTCTCTCTCTCTTTCTCTATCTTTCTATCTCTTTTTCTATCTAAGCATCTACTTTCTCTTACTCTTTCTTTTCTCTGTCTTTAATTACTTCTTACTATGCTGTTTCTTCTTTTTTTATCTCTTTCTTTCGCTTGCCTATTTTCTCTCCCTCTCTCTCCCTCTCCCTCTCTCTCTCCCCTCTCTCTCCCTCTCTCTTTACACATTTTCTCACTTTTCTAGCGATTCTCCCTTTGTCTTTCATCTCTCACAATCTATTTTCATTCTTTCACTTTCTCCCACATCACTTTCTCTTTGTCACTTTCTTTCTCTCGCAGTCTCTCTCTGTATATATCTATCTATCTCTCGCTCTCTGTTTTTATCTTTTTCTATCACCCACCCAGTCTTTCTTTTACTCTCTCTCACCCTCTCTTTTGTTCTTCCTACTTATCTCCATTGCGTTACCATGATTACTTTCTCTCTATTTCCTTTTGCGTCTTTCTTACCGACTACATTCATTCTCCCTTCCACTGAGAATTTCCGCTATATCTCTCTTTTTTTTAATTATATATTTCTTCTCTCTTTTCTTTTTCTTCCTTCTCTCTACTTTCTCTATAGCCATCTACTTTATTATTCCTTCTTTCCTCCACTGTTTTTCTCTTTCTCGCTTCGTTCTTTTTTATAATTTTTTTTTTCGGTCGTCCCTCTCTCTCTCTCTCTCTCTCTCTCTCTCTCTCTTACTTCTCTGACACATTATCTCCCCGCTTGTTGACGTGTCTGCCTGTCTATACAAGCAAAACCTCTCCGTAGATTAAGTGCTGAATCAGGCTCGATTTATTTCACGAAAATTTATATTTCCATAGCTTTATATTCGACACCACCCCGGACCGAGGCGTGGCCGTATTCCCTTGCCACTAAATGTTTCCTGCTTGTTCAATACACGCTTGAAACCCGAAACCGAACCTCTAAACAGCCATACTTAAATGCACGGACATCCAAGTGCATATTCGCGCGCGCACACACACACACACACACACACACACACACACACATAGACAGACGCATATACATATACATACATTCGCACGCATACGCTCACATAACCGCTTGCACGCACATACATATACATTCACACACACATACACACACAAACACACAAGTATATGCCGCACGCACGCTGACACGCCCACGTATACACACGTGCACGCACCTACATATAAAGAAACGCATACGCAGACGCATGGACGAGCACACACACACGCAAGCTCGCACTCATAAACACACACATATGGATTTTCATGCACGCATTCGCATGCAGATTCACATACATACATACACAGACACGTACACATACACTCGTATATGATTACTGAATGTAGCTTTGTCTCGCATGGGCATAACATTGTAGAACCCCGTGAGAATCGAACCTAAAACATTAGCGTACTGATCAGGGAAACGAGTTCGTTACCCATCCCATTACAACACACACGTGTGTGTGGGGGGGTATGTGGGTGGGTGTGGGTGGGTGTGTGCAGGGTGTCCCCAAAAATGTATACGCACTTTAAATAATTATAAAGTCAGTGTTTATTAAAAATACATTTCATTTTCAAAATTTAATAGAAGCCACAGATATTATTTTATTGCTTTTTCAACGCCTGTTTTCAAACTGGCGTCCATTCTGGTCCAGACATTGCTGACAACACGAAGTAATGGAATCGAAAACATCATCAAACATTTCGTTTGGTATTTTTGTGCATTCAAGTTCAATGGCTTCCCTCAATTCAGTTGACCGTTGCAGGTTTCATAGCGTAGACTTTGTCTTTTAAGTATTCCCCATAAAAAAAAAACTCTTGTGATGTGAGGTTTGGTGAATGCGGAGTGTATTCTATAAAACATCTTCATCCAATCCACCTTTTTGGCAAGATCTCATCAACATAGGATCTAACTTCACTCTTCAGTCTAGACCATCGCCATTAATAGCATGGACTAATCTTGGAATATAATGTTTCCATTGACAGCGCTTCGAAATGCCTTGGACAGACGGTTTTGAAATACCTTCCTCAAGATTCGCTTACCCGACAGAATTTCTTGAACTTTTGTGGTACGTTTCCAGTAATCTTTCTTCCTTTGTGGGGGTTGTCGATGTCCGTGGCCTTCCGAAACACTTCTCGTGGACATTCGGAACTGTTCCATAGTCTTCAAACTTATCCCGAATTCCGTAAAGTCACGTTGGTGAATCTGTTTGAAAACTACCCCCCCGCCAACTGTTTTTGCACTTCAACTGCGCCTTCACACTTCCAGTAGCATTTTAAAATGACTTTCCTTTGTTCAAAACTTAGTTTGACTGCCATCATTAATTCTAAGTTCAATATGGGAAGGGAAAAAAAACATCAATTAAGCTGTCAGCTGTTAAAGTGTGCATACATTTTTGGAGGACACTCTGTATATGTATTCTCGCCAGCCATCTTACACATTTATAAATCTACTGTTCGTTCATGCATTCAGTATTGCTCGCACATCTGGTTTGATGCTTCTGCCATGTATTTAGACATTCTAGAAAAGAAAATTTGCAATTTTATTGGTTCTAACATGTCATCTCATCTGTCACATTCCCACCGCCGTAAAGTTGATTCCCGGTGCCTTTTCTATAAATAATTTAATGGTAATTGTTCTGATGAACATTCTTCTATCTTCATTCCAGTTAACTTAGCTATAGGGATGTATACTCATTGGTTCCTTTTATTTGGTCCCTATTTTTCTTTGGTTTAATTCCCCATCTCCTCCCTCCTTAGGTAGTCAGTGATGTCAGTTCTCTGGTGGATGCGAGGCGCCTTTCGTTTCGGCTTTTATTAACAGTATTTTATTTGGCTTCTTCTAAATAGTTTTGTTTTCATATTGTAAATATTAATTGCGGCTAGTTTTTAAATTCTTGTTTTATAACAGACAATGAATTGTACATATGGGGACTACTTATAACTTTCATAGAGACAATGAGGTATTATGGTGGGTGTAGTAAGAAAGGTAAGTAAGAATGCGTTGTTTTGGTGTCAGGATTATTGTGGTATGTTTCAGTCAGTGTTTGTGGCAAGCTAAGTTTAAAATTAAGACAGACGAAGGTCGCCCTTTCCCCATCCCCCATTTTGGCCTTGTGCCATATTTTGTAATTAATTAGAAATAAATATCACTTTTTTCTTTCGTGCATCGACTTGAGCGCAGTACTAGATTGGCGGCAAGGTCTCATTTTACAGTTGAAATGGCTAGATTCAACTGTAAGTATTAACAGTTTCTTCTTTGACACTTCTCGCTTGTGTAGCTAACTTCCGGCTTCTTGCTTTCTATTCAACTTTAATTTTCAAAGATTTAAATACAGTGTTAATCGTTATCTTCCGGCTACTTAATTCCTGTTCTTTTATTGTTATCCCGTCCCAATAATGTTTTTTCTTTATATTCTCTCTAACACTCAGTAAACCCTTTCGCCTTGCTTGAAGTGAAATGATTAAGTCTGGTTTGTATTCAGAATTTTTCTTCTCCTAGACTGGTCGCCAACAAAGGCTCTATGACCCAGTCCTGCTATTTACTGATTGATTGTGGAATTCAGAGTTGTCATTCTCCTAGACCGGTTTCCACCAAAGTTGAAACCCAGTTTGTCTTGCTCTTTACTTATAACTGTGCTAGGGGCAGGGAGAGAAGAGATGGATCCAAGGCTATTTTCACGTAAGTGAATTTAACGAACCCGACTGGAACTCGAACTCGGTTCTCCGATTCCTCAATATGAGACGTTGTCGATTACTCCACTGTGCTTCCAAATAATAATATACACATATATAATCGAACTCACTATCAATAGAGTTCTGTTTCCACGGTACAGTACCTCTACAGTAGTCCACCGCTATTAGGCGAACCAGTTTACCGCAGTACCCGGTGTACCGCGGGTGGCAGACCACAAGATTTTGCTAACGTACCCTCAATATCGCTCACTTTTTTTTAGAAATTCCACGCTATTTTACCAATTTTGTGGGCCATCTTTGTTATTTTCGAATTAGGCATGTAAATTTAGAATAAAAAATAACTGTTTTATTAAATACTTAACGCGGGGCTTAAAAAGTAAATTACCCGAAATTTCTCATGGGATTATTCGCATAAATTAGTATAATTTTTTTAAGATCTCTTCGAGCCGTTATCTACGGTATATATCGCGACATAGGGCAAATAGGGCCCCACAATCAGGTAGGTGTTCAACCTCCTATTATCGCCCCCCACCTAGCTTCTGCGATTCACTTGCAGCGCGGGTCGACCATCTTGGATCCCCAAGTTCCGCGCTATTGCGGTGGACTACTGTATTGTTTTATTTTCCCTTTGTATGTCCCTTTTTTAATTTAGGTACATATTAGATTAGTCACCGTTTTTGACCACATCGTCTTTAGACCTTAGTTATCACCGGAATCGGTAGAATAATACTCAGGTTGAAAACACACGGTTCCTACTTTGTTATCTTCCTAAATCTAATCCTTCCTCCCCGCCCCCACCCATGGTAGCGCCCACAAATACATACCTTTCCAAACATTTTCTCTCTGTATTGCTCCTCTTTAATATCATATTATTATTTGAAGATTTGTTTATGGTCATATGCCTTGTATACATATATTTTACATTTGTATTTCGAAACTCTTTCACCACATGTTGGCTGTTCTCATACTGTAACTTTCTTCCTTTCTAAGAACTTATCACTGGAAACTTTATAACATGTTCTTGCTACTTCCTTTATCCATTTAGAACGACGGTCTCAATGCCATATTCGGATGCATACGTCTTTTCTTTCCATTCGTTTTTTGGCTTTCATTTATTTTTTTGTTACAATTAAACTCGTCTCAAGTTTGTATTTATTTCTTTTTCTATTTTCACCCTTTTGGCTCTCAATAAACTTGTCGATGAAGAGGACTTTATCTTCAGAGTTTTGATTCCCCTAAGTGGAGTAATGGATAGCGGCTCGGATTCTGGAGTCGGAGATCCAAGTTCGAATTCCAGTCATTTATTATTCACTTACGTGCTAATACCCTTGGAAAAGGTAGGAATCCTCTTCTTCTACCTCCAGCTATGGGTAAGTAGCAGGCCAGACCTGGTTCTATAGCCTTGGATGGTAACTGGTCTACCGCAGAAAGAAATGGCAACCTACTGCGGGAAAAAAATCTGCCTCGTCAGTCACGTATCAAAAGATACATGTTCGCCTAAGCGTATATTACGCATGGCACATAACCGATTGAAGTCGTTTATCTGGCTATCTGGGGTACGCACGCGTGCTATAAAAGTAAACGATAAAACTTACTTTTACAATGATATTGACAGCCTTAGTTAAACTAGTTTAGAATATATTCTGTTACAAATGCCACATGGAACTTCATATTGTGAATCTTCGTTGAATATGTAAGAATAAAACAGTCATATTAGAACAACATGAATAAAACTTATTTACAGAAAATATCATGTTTCACAAATTCAAAATTCAAGATAAATACTAGTTTTCTATCAAGAGTTCATAAATTCGTATGCATTTGCTATTTTTGTTGCATTTATTTTTAATCTGTTAATTGGTTGTTTTTGTTTAACGACATATCAACATCTCTAATGCCGAAATCTAAATATTTTGTACGCAATTATGGCTTCAGCTACATCAATTTTGAACACAATCTTATGCCTTCCACTACAGATATTCTGTAAATAATTTTATACTTGAAGGATAAATATATGTTTTTTTTTAGATATGTATAGTTTGTAGATGATCTATTATAGCGTTATATGTTTTGGTAGAAACC